TTAATCGAGTTAGACGAAAATAAGTTGACCAACATAACTAGGTTAAAATCACACCCTACAATTAAAGCCTAGCGCAAATCACTCTTTCATGGCATCCATGTTGTTATGTTCGAAAAGATCATGGGGTAATCTGAACTCAGCAAATGGAACGAAAAATCAGCGACACAACGACAAGACACGCTAAAATATTCTTATGTACCACAACCATGATCACTAGATGGGGACGACCAGGTTCAGATGAGGAAAAGGTTTATTCCACAAGCACGAACAAAACATGCAGACAACAAAAGCGTACATACACAGCATAAAAATGTCATTTTGAAACGCCACAAAACAGCGTATTAAAAAAGGCAACAGAGGAATAGCATTTAGGGTCCTTCCAAGTTGAAAATACAATCTCAATGTGAAAATAAGTGCTTTCGGCTCGAAAACGAGAATTCCAAATTTTTAACATAAAATTACAAAACTAAGACGTTTATCAAATTATTCATAGAGATCTAGCGTCTTCAACATAGGTACAATGGCTATAATAATGACTTTACAACACAAACAATGATTTTAAGGAAATATATTAGTGATATTAGAAACAGAAAAATGGAGTGTGATCACAGCTTATGGCGCGCAATCGGTTGATGTGCTTTGGTCGACCTTGACATTGACGAGGATCGGTGAACTACTCAACATTCAGTCACCCAGCTGCCGGGTGATTTGGTTAGAGTCCAGTGACATTCCACTTGTGCAACAATATTATGATCTGATTTTACATTCAGATCATTGTGAGAATAGACTCTAGGCACGAAAGTTTTCTTTTCGTTGAAGTCAATTGCTCGTGTAAATACGTTTGGTTGATTTGACAGTCATTATTCAAGAGTCAAAGTAGCTAATCAAAGCGTTTGGATAGGTATGAAGTACACAAACACTCAGATCCTATGATTATCCTCCACGATTTCAACTCCCTCAGAAAAAATAAGATTGAAGGAATAAAGCAGATGAACAAGCAACCAAGAACCGACAAGTAAGATAGTCTTCAGAGTAACGAACCGATGAATGTCAGTGTGCAAGTACGTCACAGACACGACACGTAACTGGCGTTAGCCGTCATAGTCTCTCGGTCTTCCCATCACTATTAGAAATAGAATACTCCTGCTGCTTGGTCTGTTACATGTTACATGTCATGTTAGATGTTTGTGAACTTCTGAATCAAGGAATATATGAGACTTTTCGGGTCCAGTACAACTTGAGGAGTGACCTATCGGGCCAAATCAGATGTTATGAGTGCCGACATAGGTCGGCAACACAACAACAGAAAGGTGAATTAGAATACACCCTACAGTCAGTTGATCTCAATCAATGAACCACGATTTAGGGTATCAAGGCCACAGTGCGGTCAATGGAACTCGTTAAATAGGCGAACATCTTGCAGTGGCCATTGTGCACTGAATCTACTAACCTATTTCTGGCAACAATCTGTTTATTGTCCTGAAAACATCCTTCTGCAACGGAATATCAAAAGAAGAGATTAATCATCAAATCCCTCTATAGCAACTCAAAAGGATTAGGAAGAAAATTAGGGTAGATCAAAAACGTGATTTTGTTCATATTTGAAGATCATAGTTCTAAATTAGGCATGTTTATTCATCGAATTCATGGAAGATGAAGTAAACATGAAAAGCGTGACACTGTGATGATAGGGCACACAAAACAGGAGTAGTGGCGATGTTCAGACTTCAAAGCAGCAACGCCAAACTGAACCAAACTAGCCTAGACGGTGAAACCATGCTGGTATCGCCACGTCGTGAAATAAAACGAATAATTAGTTGGAGGAGTACTAATGTAGTAGAATTAATCCTAACGAATCCTAATACTCGAAGCTGGACGTAAGATATTTGAGAAAATTCACATTCAACACTTATCACCGTGAGAAGATCAGAAATAGTGAACGCGAGAATAATTGTCTAGTATGGCGTGCCTCGACCATACAAACGGAGTAACTCTGTAACCTTTTGCTTTTCGTATTGAATTTATTACTCTTCCTAGACCAAATGTGTTCTTCAGAAGTGCTAGACTGCTGATTGTCGCGATAGGACGAGTCAGTGCGGACAATGATGTGAATTCCACGTAAGATTTGATATATTAGGTTGTCACGTTATGACAAATCTACAATTTTGAGATGGGGTCTGTCAATATAGCTTCAAGAATATATACACAATCATCAAACTAGACCATACTTCTACACCAACAATCAGAAGGATGAGATATTCCACATGCTAATGCAAACAACACATTGGGGTCAACTTTGTACTCCCAGCTAGAGATTACAACACTACACTCCTTGGTATCAGGAAGCACGATACAACACCTATATAAAATAACACATAAAGGTAAGACATACTTCGAGTAATGCCGACGCTATCACACCTAAAGTTTGGTCTTTTGGTGATAACTAGGACCTTTAACGCCACATGCGCAAATTCGCGTGTTGATGATATGGTATCTGGAGGACAGTTTCACGAGCAACTTGTCAAGATTATCAAACGTTCTGATTTCATTGAACATGTAGATAACGCCACGAAATGGCAAAAGGACGGAATGCTCTCAAGTTAAACTGTTGGCAGACAAATGGTCTGGTCAAATAGGTCCATGTTCAAGCACCAGAAAGCAGTGATGACTATAGCTACTTACATTAAACTTGATCAGAAAAGAAGTACTTCATAGAGCTGTGAATGCCTCTATCTATTGACGTATCAGGACAGACTACACCACCATGAGGGAAAAACTCACGAAATCTCGTGGCTACAAGATTAGTGAAAACTGGTAAGGGATGATCATTGAGAGACAGCGAGAGGCATTACTCAGCCACCTATCCTACATAACATACATGCAGCTCAAAACACCTATGGAAAGAAACTAGCTCGTCTTAAAAAAGGCATAGATAGCTTGTTGAATGAAGAACAGGAAGCCTCTCACAAGTAGGTATTTCTACCAAGATATTCTAACAACAACAGTTACGTGAAACTGGGAAATAAAGATTTCATAAATGTGCAAAGCGACATATATTTCCAGAAAAAACTAATGACTTAAGTCCATGCGCATCCACAGCTCCTTCACCAAACGAATAACTGAAATTGAAAGACTGATCCTCTTTCAAAATGAGTAACGTCCAAGATCTCACCACAATAGGAATGCCATAGAATCTTAACACCAACGTCCCTGATCGATTAAACCACCAGTCTACAAGCATCCAACTCTCTTTTAACCTACTCTGATGAGATTTTCCGACTGAATGTTTGAATCGGTTTTCTAAGCTCTTGTAATAACCCGAGACTAAATCTACACGACAACATAAACACGAAACAAAAGGCGTACAATATGGAAAGAACGCTTTACTCTAGGGTTAGTTCATGTACTTCCTGCACTTGAAATAGCCCTAGGCTTCTGGATTGTTTTAGAGCCCTACTAAACAAAGTAGCACAAAAGACAACCGTCCAATCAGAAATGCGATACACGGAACTTCACTTTCTAGATATTTCTGAGAAACTTCTTTTCAATTTTGATTAGATAAAGGGTTTCCCAGAGTTTCTAGGCCTCCTCTGAGCTATTTCGAGGAATACTCTGTGTGTGGTTGACATAAAGCCCATTGGTGACCTGGGAAGTATACATCTAATTCTCGGTACTGGCATGAAAATGTGGAGGACCTTAACTCCATGAAAGTTTCTGCGATGTATCAGTATCCTACCTGTGGCCCTTCCGAATTTTCACACTCATAGGCTAGCTGTACTTGACGCGTATCTCGTAACTTACCTACTATTATCATTACAGCATATCACTAACCTATTCATATACCGCTTATCATTATTACCGTTTCCCATCTCATCCTTACATTTCGATTTTCTCACACTGCTTGCATTACCAATTATCCAACATAATGTTGTGTTCACTATAATTATAGTCGATTACTGAGAACAAATGAATTCAGTAGTAGTAGTAGTTAAAATACGGATATTTTCGAATATGTATTTATTTCACCAGTAATAAGCAGTTAAAGCGTATGTGGTTTGAATTGACACAAACAGACTGGTGTAGTTGTACAGGATTCACACCACAATTGGGCATTTTTGTGATTTTAGACTGATATTGCCACATATAATCTCAGGCAGTTGCACTTAAGTAAAAATAACACTTTAAGTAAAATAACCAGTGACTGCATAGTAATGAGATAAATGAAGGATTGCACATGAAAGGTCTAACCTGCATTGTTTTGATTGACATAAGTACAAACTGTCCTGAATGCTTGTTAACCAGCGTGTCCTAAATATTCATAGATCAATACGGTAATGGAATTCGACTTACATATAGATAAATGGGTGAGGAACCAGACGAAAGATTTTCGAGGAGACTTAGTCTGCAGTTAAACTTAACTAGATTTCGTAATTGTGGCAGTCAGAACGTGCTTGGCAAGCATATGATTAATCAAGCATTTTATTCCAGAATGAGTATAAAATCACGTTTATTCGACATACCTATACAAAATGCCATACTTATTTATTCGCTTTCTCAGTTCTTGAAACAATAGTCTTCTTTAAGCATTCGAATATTGTTCTAATTGTCTTTTATGGTGGGGAACAACCTACCAACCTGTTGTCTGGTGATGTGATAGCTATCGGTCTTAGAAACCCTAAAGCTCTGTCAAGAGCACATTTGCTCAGATTAGAAAATATACCAACCCACATATAACTGCCAAACTGAATAGAATCAGTGCGGTCGGGTTGACAAAATATCGCCTATTTGAAATTATCGTTGACCTCTGATCATCCTGAAACAGCATGAAGCGAAGGAAAAGAAGTAATCTGTTTATGCAAGCTCATCGCAAGGGAATCAGAAACTGAAGGTGTTTTGAAATAAAGCATAATTTTTTCCTAGGAGTTTTGAGACTTTCAGATGCCAGTTTACTGCATTCGTATAAGTAAACTAGAATTACATGCCAATAAACATAAGCAACAAAAATTTGTTACCTCCGAATACATAAATACAGGAAGTAATTGTCTTATACTATCTCGTGATTTCTGGATTGCTGGCAATGTTTCCAGCTGTTCAAGGCTATTGAAGAGGAAGAGGGAGGTTTGAGCCAAGTCAGCAACAAGGTAAGATAAGGTTGACCTTTGGTTCGAAAGTATTTACTGATTGGTCCGATCAATACCTTCATTAAATCATTGTAGCTGGTTGGGATCTAATTGAGTTGATAATTCATGAACATCTCATTGGGGGATTTACTTCAATGGCCATTACAGACAGCTGATCTAATTTCTCCAGTTGTCGATCTAATATATATTTATTTTCTTCATGTGAACGCTTTTGTATTTGCTGCAAAGTTTTGTAACATTTTGATAAGGCGTGTTTAAAAATACTGATCGCTTATATTGTGTTTAGAAATACTGGGAGTTAGCCGTGTGATTATAAATATCTACTTTGCAAAGCGGATCTGCATCTTCACAGGAGCGACGATGTCTCAAATGTAAAAAAGGTTTAGTAGTATTAAACAAGCAGTGAAAATGGTTCTTCTAAGTTTTCGGTCAGTCAGCAAACTATTTCCTTGCTAAGACCCTTCCTCGATTTACTTTCTTGGCAAGACTATGATTTATTCAGACGAACCAGTGGAATTAGGTATATATAGTCGGATTTTATCGCGAAATTCATTCATACATGTGGTGGGTTGAACCATATGCTCCTAGTTTCAATTCCAAGATTGTTTTAATTTGAGGATTGTGCTATTTCTGATTGTTGATTGGTTTCGTTATTGATTTTAAGTGCATCGTGTGCTCTTCCTATGTCGTAAATTAACCAACTGTTTTGTTTTTCTTAGCCTTTGTGCACTTGTCATGCTCTAGTACACAGAACACTTGGCTAGACGCGAACCGCTACAATATATCTGTTAGAATTCTCAGTTCGTAGTGAAAACCTTTACTTTGATTCCTAACCACAAATTTTAACCCAATCCCAGGTTCCCATATTGGTCTATAACCCTCTTTTGACCCTGGTAAACAGGTGAGTCGTCTGAAGTCCACTTTAGCGTTATTCAAAGGTCGCCCTTAAATTATAGTGTTAAGGCTTTGTATTTAGCATAGGCTTCTTTTGGATGAAAATAGCATTATTTTTACCCTCTAGTGGATGCTATTAAATGTCAAGCAATTTAAAAAGCATCTCGTAACAGAAATAGCGTGTCTGATTAGTAGGTAGTAATCAGAATGTTGCTACCTTCCTGTTAGTAAATGTTTGTCCTTATAATATCACACCCTTCCTAAGTACCCTTAATGGCCACGTTTCGCAGTCGTAAAGGAGAACAGAGCAAACTGCTGCTCAGTATACTGGTCCCTTAATTGATAGATGGATATATCGCCTTCGGAATAAATGACGTATTTTGGCAAAAGCCAAACGAATTTTATGGATCCGTGCATAGATTTCGTCAGACACATGCATGCATAACTTTTTGAATCTAAGCAATATGGAGTTTATCGATTGGCGAGTGTCATTAAAATCGGAGCCACAATATGTGTAAACACCTTTAAATTCTTTTGTTCAATCATACTTGTTTACGGATTCTGAATCATTCGTACCGTATGCCTAATTTGCTATATTTCTTTTAATACCGTTCTGTAGTTTCAGTTACTATCTCTAGTTGGTATGGCCGATTATTGGAAAAGCAACCCAAAAAAGTATTGCGAATTATGCAAATGTTGGATGGCTGACAACAAAATCGTAAGATATTAACTCTTTCTTCATTATTATCCCACATATACTTTAAACAGAGCATTCAAAATCATGAGAATGGTATGCGTCATAAAGCTAGTGTAGCTAAAAAGGTTAATGATTTGACCCGTAGCAACAAATGTGCTGAAATGGAAAGGAAGAATTTAGAGGCATGCTTACAACAAATAAACGATGTAATTGTCTTAAATTCCATGTTATCCTTTTAAATATTCAGAATGCGCACTTAAGCATGATGAAAGATCTAGAAAGAGACCCATCATTGGCAAAACAATATGGAATCGTGCTAGCAAGTAACTGCGTGTTTTACGTTACATTTAAAATTCGAAGAGTCACCGTGTGAAGGAAAATTGAACCAAGAGTCTTCTACTAAAACAGAGAAACCAGTTGCTGATAAATCTCGTCCTGATCCACCCAGTCGTGCAAATATTTGGAAGGAATCGATTACCCCAGATGGCAAACATTATTATTGGAATGTGGCTACTCGTGTTGCGCAGTGGACACGGCCAGATGGCATTATTGAACCGGAACAACGACCAGTGAAAGAAGAAAAAACCAGACTAAAAGAATTTGTCTTAAATCGTCTTGTGGAGTTAAGCGAACATGGATCCAAAGGAGCTAATGAGGCTGTACTACAAGTGTTTAATGTACCTACATCAGATATCGAGCCTATCATAGAAAAAATATCGGATGGAACATCCGATAAAAAGCCGAAAAGTTTGGACCTCCCAACACCTGTTCAATTCCAAGGTCCACAAATTGATTTACTTGGTCCGTGGGTTCCTTGTGATGATACGTGAGTAATCTACAAACGTTTTTTAACTATTGAACCAGGAAAAACTTTTGATATTTTTATTTCTGTTGAAATACAGCTTAGGTTTCACGGGATACACTAAAACCTGTGTACCTACTAAAATAGCTGCAATAATTTGAACGATAGGGATTCTACTGAGTTACCCAAAATGAAGTTGTCGCAGTAGAATTCAAACCCCTCGACTAGTAGGTTGAGGGCGTTAACCAATAAACATTATTCTGTCTTACATTATTGGATATAGTTGAGGAAAATAGGAGGGATGTAAATGAAAAAGGCATTTAATTTTAGATATTTTCTATGTATTCAAATGACAAGTGCTTGAGTAATTTATTGATTTTCAATTAATAGTGGCAAGTGATTAAATAGGAATGTAAATACTCACTGATTAGATAATACACAATCCGTAGTATAGGTATTGAACTATCACCCATAAGACATATTTCTATTTGAAATAGTTGATTAGAATACGTTAAGCTTGACTACAGTATAGAATAACAGATTTTTGAAATAGATTGTTGTTGGTTTCAATAGTTTGGAGAATTGAATACTAATTTAATGGGCCACTATGTGAAATAAGCCTAAAATCAGTGAAATGGCTCAACGGTATAATCATTTACTTTCTATTCTTAGGATTTAGATATTTGCCTATTTCTCTGTCCCCAAATGCCCTGGTACGGCCGAAAGTGGGGAGAGTCCGCTCTCCCTCTCGAAATGCTCTCATATGGCCACGCGTATATAGGCTCTGCCACACAAGTCCTACTCACTATCTTGTCTTGGCGGGGGTGTTGTTTACAAAATTGAGAGGACGAAATGAGAATGTCCATCTCTTTAACCGGGTTCGTGGGCACGGAGAGTTCACCTAGGCGAGTTGGAAGACCGTGATTCCAAACCAGTGGTGCACATGGACTCCAGGATCCTGAGGGAACAAATGGCGTATGAATCAATCGGTGATCACCGGCCTTATGGATCAGACCTTTAGGTCAAAGGCTCCGGGTGTGGCTCCGTAAGAAAACCGCCTGCTTTAGTTTGAGCACCCGGGCAGTATCACAGCCCTCAAACAAATCTCATTTGATTTGTGCGACGCATATATATCTGGTGCCCCTTTGTACCAATATTTATGTGTTTAAATAAATAAATAAATAAGCCTGTTTCTCTATTGAAATAAAGCGAGAACGACTAGATTTGCAGGGTAAAATGAATCCATTTCATTTCGAGCCTTCTCATCTGCTGTAAACGGCTTTCAGTTACAGTTAATATTATTATGTTTATAATAATGTCAATAAAACTACTAGCCATTAAAATCTTAATTGTCTGAGTACAATTATGTTTATTATTTTACTTAGTGACTCCATATCTCGTTTCTCTTCTTGTGATAAAGTCCTAGACCCAAATTGCCCAAGCTTGATCTCCCTAATACCTTCAATGATGTTGGATCTCCAATTTTGGATGGGAAACTGTCCGCACTTGCACAATTGGAAGCAACAACTGAAAATTATTACGAAAATTCAACTCTCTTCTGTCCTAAAGAACATGTAACTACTCATAGTAGTTGTGTAGCTGACACCGCTAAGCAAACCAACAGTGAAGACACTAAAGTACGAAAATCTAATTCTAGCACAACAGCTCGTATTGTGTTCAAACGACGTCCTACGTCTAATCGAAGTATACGTACCCCTCAAGATGACGAGTAGAAGTTCCTACTACAGTTGTGTACATATAATATTTTTATGGTTAATATAGCCATTTTTCAGTGAAAAAAGATGAATTGTATCTCCTTTTATTGCTACAAAGTCTGTATCGTTTTAGGGTGACAGTTTTAATCAGTATTTTACCCTATGTTTAATTTAGACAAGGAGTAGAATCAAAATACCACAGAAAGGGTCCCAGCGATATCAATTCGATTAACCACATTACTAGCGAGAAACTATAGCAACCATCCTACAATCAATTTCGATTATAGCCAATTTTGGTTAAGCCCTTTTTTATAACTTACTTAACAGACATTGTCATTAGGATAGTAACAATTTGCATATTCTTTGCACTGCTATACCACTAGAGCACATGACACTCTAGCCGAAATGTTGACTGCTTAAATATCATTCGATGACTCATACTCCTCCCCATATATGTACGCACACAAATATTATTATCAGCCTTTGTTTTGCTTTGCTGTGCCCTTATTAAATTTGACTATAAATTGCCTATGTAATTGCTTGCTACTCTCTCGCTCGCTCGCTTGCTCCTCGTTCGTTTCCTTCGCTTGTTTGCCTGTTCACTCGCTCGTTCATATTCGCTCAGGTGTTGTTAGCTTTCGAACCTGAGTCATTCGACAATAAACTGTAGTTGCTGCTATCCTTTGTCTTCTGATTTTACGCACCGTTAAGTTTAGAATTATAACGGTTATCGAAGTAAACGGTTAACGAATCGCGGCACTACAGAATTGGAGGCCTCGCCGAACAAGCACGACGCAATAGAATTGGATATCTCGCCGAACAAGCACGACGCAATAGAATTGGATATCTCGCCGAACAAGCACGACGCAATAGAATTGGATATCTCGCCGAACGAGCACGACGCAATATATTTGGTTACCTCGCCGTACGAACACGACACTACGGAATTGGATGCCTCGACGAGCGAACGCAAAACAATTTTCGACGAGATAATTTCATTTTGAAAATTCAACGTACTCTGTTTCTATTCGAATTATTATCTGGATTATAATCATAATTGTGGATTTATTATATCACAATTTTAATCGTATGTACATTATCCCATAGACATTATTGAACTTAACGATAATATTCATAATAAATAACGATTATTCACGAACAATTGATATATTGGTGCAATTTAGTAAGTCTGTTCCATTTTATATATTGTACCTTTTGTTATTATCATTTTTTTTCATCGATTCATTTCTCTTAGTGACAATAACGTTATATTCGCATACTATTTAATTTATTATTATTATTATTATTAGTAATGTCTTTAAATAACGAAACAATCGATCTTTCACAGTCACCATCCGTGGGAGTTATTAATGTTACTATTCCCTCTTTTAATGTTAATGATCCTCAACTCTGGTTTATTAGACTTGAAAGTTACTTCGTAGCCAATCGTATTATTTTACAGCGACATAAGTTCGGCTATGCAAGCTCACTACTTCCAGATGAAGTAGCAGACAAGGTACGAGAGGTCCTAACTAAGCCGGATGCGGTAAATCCGTACGATGTATTGAAACAGGCAGTAATAAAAGCTCTCTCGTTAAACGACCGGCAAGCTGTCGAGCAGTTGCTCAGTGAAGTTCAAATCGGTGATAGAACGCCTTCGCAGTTAAAAACGTATATGAGCAACGTAATTGGAGACAGAAATGTGGATAAAAATATATTTTACCACTTATGGTTGCGACGACTCCCACCGAACGTACAGCAGATCCTCGCTGTTGGAGATAGCGATGTAGACATGGACAGTATCGCTAAAATAGCCGATAAGATTTACGAGAGAATGAGAAATGCGACTTCACAAACGCTCAACTTCACAGTTGACGAAAGAATCGAGGCCTTGCAAAAGGAAATTAATGCGCTATGCCACAAATTAACGAGTCTAAATCACAACGACAGGAAAAGAAGCTGGTCGCAGAGTAAGATGGCCGCAACGTTATGTCGCTACAATCTTTTACTGATAATTTTCTGCTACTTTGATTATTAATTATAATTCTTCCTCTTCATTGTATACATATGGATTATTAAATTCATGCTATACGCTATTAAACTTGGCACAGCTTATGTACACCCTTATGCTCATACGTGTAGTTTTTTTTTCGAAGCGATACCATATTCCTTCTGTATCTTACCGCTATTTTGTATAGCCTAGCGGACGGGCACGAACTAAATGCACATTAACTTCATTCTAATTTTATACAGGCCCATATCTTCAAATGATTGTAACTACGCTATCCAATTTACTGTACATTATGCAAACACAGACATTTTTTCATATATCTTTGTTTGCAGGGGGGAGTAATATAGCAACCATCCTACAATCAATTTCGATTATAGCCAATTTTGGTTAAGCCCTTTTTTATAACTTACTTAACAGACATTGTCATTAGGATAGTAACAATTTGCATATTCTTTGCACTGCTATACCACTAGAGCACATGACACTCTAGCCGAAATGTTGACTGCTTAAATATCATTCGATGACTCATACTCCTCCCCATATATGTACGCACACAAATATTATTATCAGCCTTTGTTTTGCTTTGCTGTGCCCTTATTAAATTTGACTATAAATTGCCTATGTAATTGCTTGCTACTCTCTCGCTCGCTCGCTTGCTCCTCGTTCGTTTCCTTCGCTTGTTTGCCTGTTCACTCGCTCGTTCATATTCGCTCAGGTGTTGTTAGCTTTCGAACCTGAGTCATTCGACAATAAACTGTAGTTGCTGCTATCCTTTGTCTTCTGATTTTACGCACCGTTAAGTTTAGAATTATAACGGTTATCGAAGTAAACGGTTAACGAATCGCGGCACTACAAAACGTCTTAACATCTGTTGTGCCTGGATTTTCTTCATTCGTTTTTGTATTTGTCCATTTGAAAAGTCTTCTGGATCATCAGACTGGGGATTCCAGCTTCTTGCATATTTTTATGTTAAATCGTTTATTTGAATAGTGCGACTTAACTGTGAACTAGGGGGGGGGGAGGTCCAGCGATGATAGTTTAAGCAATAAGTGATTTGCTATCATAAGTTAATTTCCTAGTACATGATAAGTATCTGTAGTTCAGTATGTTATTATTTAAACTTAAATGCATGAATGTACATATTTGATCCAAGTGTTACTGTTACATACTAGTCACTGTTTCACTTTCTAACGGGGTGTAAAGAGTATTAAAAAACCACCACTACATAGATGAGTAAACCCACTGGTAAATTTGTGTCAATTGCAGACAGTCGTTTTATAGTAGCAGGTTGCATAAATGTCAGCTTAAACTTATGTGAACAACTAATCCCAGATTTATCGCTGCTTATCTCTATAATTCGCTGATTTCTAAACCCACATATCAACAAGTGGGTTTTGTGCTCAAACTGTATCACACTTTCAGTTAGAACAGTTGGTTATTGTCTCTAGCTCTAACATAATAGGTACGCCTGAAAGTTTTGTATTGAAACGTGGAATTAGTTACCTGTTTAAGGTAAATGATTTATGGTACATTATTTATTTATTTAAACATAAATATTGGTACAAAGGGGCACCAGATATATATGCGTCGCACAAATCAAATGAGATTTGTGTGAGGGCTGTAATACTGCCCAGGTGCCCAAACCGAAGCAGGTGGTTTTCTTTGGGGACCACACCCTGAGCACTTGACCTGAAGGTCTGATCCCTAAGGCAGTGGAGCTTCGCAAGGAGATGCATTTCCTAGGTAGCCGGTGACCACCGATTGATTCATACGCCATTTGTTCTCTCAGGATACTGGAGTCCATGTGCACCACTGGTTTGGAATCACGGTCTTCCAACTCTCCTAGGTGGACTCGCAGTGTCCATCAACCTGGTTAAAACATCGGACATTCTCATTTCGTCCTATCGATTTCTCAAACAACAGTAATGCCATGAGAAGACAGTGAGTAAGACTTCCCTGTCAGAGGCTATATATGAGTGGCTGTGTGAAAGCATTTCGAGAGGGCGAGCCCTCCCCATAAAAAAACATATCAGTTGATGAGGTTTTTAGAGGTAAAGAAAATGGTTTTCGTAACTTAAATTTGTTTATTCAATAGTAAATATGTAATACACAGAAATGCAATATTTTTGTATGAAATTTTGTTTATTAGCAAGTAATCATTAAAAATATAAAGAAGAATTTCACATAGATCTTAATTATTATTACTGTTTTGAAAAGTTTCAATGAATTCTAGATAAGTTGAACTGATTTACATCCATCTAGTTTAGGCTGATCATTACATGTATTCATGACATTAATGATCATGATATATAAGACCTCGGACTGGTTATACACTTTCAAGATCATATGCATTGATATCAAATCTGGAAAACTAGAAAAAATTGTACATTGTAAGTGTAGAGAGAATCAAAAACAACAAACAAGCGATTATTAGTATATTGTTGCGAAGATTGTTGAGTCTTAGTTGAGATCATGAACCGACCAGTGTTGGATCATCATTAAAAACCTAGAAGCACTGGATAGACGTTTTGTGTGGGATTGTGAACGTGCACTTTTGAGTAGTCTTATACTAAGATGAAACAGCCGTCCAGTGCTTCCAGGGTTTAATGATGGTCTAATATTGATCATTTAGAACGAAACATTACAAAAATTTCTGTAAGTAACATCTAATAGTTGGCGAATAATGGATTGCAATTTTTATAATGTATTGACTGAGCATAGTTGATCTGAACGTCATTTCCTCATTCCACTATAAAAATTTATGAAAATGGCTAATTGTTTTGAACTGTAATTTATTTATTTGAGCACAAATATTGGTAAAAGGGGCACCAGATATATATGCGGCACCCGAAATGTGTCATTCCATTTTAATTGTGTGAGGGCTATGGTACTGCCCGGGTGCCCAGGCTGAAGTAGGTGGTTTTCTTAGGGGGGCCACACCCAGAGCCTTTGACCTAAAGGTCTGATCCATAAGGCAGTGGAGCATCGTAAGGAGATGCAGTCCCATGTTAGTCAAGGATCAACAATCAGTTCATACGCCATTTATTCCCTCAGGATACTTTAGCCCATGTGCATTATTGTCTTGGAATCAGGGTTTTCCAACTTCCCTAGGTGAACTCACCATGTCCACCAAGCCGGTTAAAGCGCTGGACATTCGCTTTTCGTCCTCTCAATTTCGTAAACAACATTAATGCTATGAGAAAACAATGAGTAGTACTTCTCTGACAGAGGCTGTATACACGTGACTGTGTGAAAGCATTTCGAGAGAGAGCGGACTCTCTTCACTCTCGGCCGTACCAGGGCATTTGGGGGCCATTATTTTTCATTACTTCAACAATATGACAAATGAAAACAAACATTATTATTATGAAATTAAAGTAGTACCTGAAATATTACAATTTTCTATTGTAAAGTATTACTTTTAATAAGGAATTTCTGATTATCTGAATTAAGAATAATACGTTCATATTCTTGATGACGTCTATATAAATCTTTATATGCCATACATACTCGTTCATATTCAGAAATGGATACATTTCTTCTATAATGAAAACAAAATGAACAGTTATCATTTACTCCTTGATAAAAGAATGGAGGAAGGGGGTAGTTGTGGAGATTTTAGTAATGTAATAGTTGAATTTATAAGTCAATTAATGCTAGACCATTAGGTCTAGATAGTGACTCACTGAAGACAATGGTGTAAGGTGGCGCAATTTCGTGGATTAGTTGAAGTTAGACATTAACACTGTTGAATACCAGCTCAGTGATCTTGAGGTTAAGCGTTCGTGCGCGAGACCGATAGGTCCTGGCTTCTAATCCCGCGAGGACGGATCGTGGATGGTCACTGCTGAGGTGTCCCACAATAGGACGAAACGGCCATCCAGGTTTCTAATGGTTGTCTAACTTTAATTGACAGAAAGATGTACAGGATTGGCTTTTGTTTGTCGTTCAAGACTCCCTAGTCGGGGTTCTAGAGATGGTGCAACACAGTGGCTTGAGATGTTATCAGATATGGTTCAGAATAGACGGCAGTGGCGATACTGCTGTCACTTTCTTTTATTTTCTTCATAAAAAATAAACTTCTTTAACTGAATTCTTTCTGGCTGTACTTTTGTTAAGTCAACAGCTTCTCCCGTTATTATTGTTTCACTATCATACATTAATTTCTGTTCGATGTTGTTTTCCTTTTTTTCTTATATGCACTTTACATTTACTATCTCTGCACATTCTCATTGTTATTGTGTGGGGCTTATGTATTCGGTGGTGCCCCTTTGTACCAATATTTATGTGTTCAAATAAATAAATAATTTTAATGGTTGAAATCATGAGTCAATTGAAGCTAGACCACAATGGAAAACCTGGAAGCACTGGACGGCGGTTTCGTCCTATTATGCGACTCCTCAGCAGTGTGCATTCACGATCCCGCACTCACGAAATTCCAACCCAGTACCTACCAGTCTCGCGCCAGAGCACTTAACCGGTAGACCACTGAGCCGGCATCCAACGATGTTAATGTCTACCTTCAACCAATCCACGATGTTTGAGCAACCATTCACCAATTGTCTTCATTGAGTTGATATCTCTAAATAAATAATTAGTTAATATTGTGGAGAAGATTTGTAGCTCAAGTGGATGATTATGATGGAATTTTGTTCTTTGAGCTAAATGGTTTGGTCGTGAAGAATTTTTAGAAGCTTGGCACTTAGGTCAATCAGAAATCAATAAACACATTGAAATCGATTCAATTTTACAAACAATCAGAAGAATTATGGACAAATATAGGACCAAAAAATCAAATCAACGGGAAATACAACCAAAATAAAGAAGTAAACAGTGATAGGTTAAAGGTTAACAATAACCAGCCAACATCGTGGTCTACAGGACAATCTGTGGGGCATATATGAATGAATTCGAACACTTCACTTGTATCTAAAGTTCGTGCTGATGATGTCATTCAGAAAAAACAAACGATGAAAGCTCCTTGACCAAAGCATTCAGCTTAGAGAACAAAACTCCATAAATAATTAGTATTTGCCTAAGGTAACATGTATTTCAGTTCATTATTACTGATATTATCAACAATAGAATTTTAATAATTCAGAAGAACCAAACTCTGACCTTATGTCAAATGTCGATCTTGGCAATCTAGTCAGTTCTAGCAGATTCTCTATTGAATGCAGGAAAAGTGTTATAAACAGAGTCACATTAAATGTAACTAGGGTATATAAGGATCCAACGTTATTTCGTGGGGGAGGATAAATTTGTGAAATTTAAAATCCGGATATCGACTCCGGATCTTTCAAGAAAATGGGGAGATGTTATATCCCGAAGCTATTTATGAATGGTAAATTTTGAGAACTATTTATGGATCAATATGATATGTATATTTCCTATTGTATAAATGCTAAGAAGTCAAACTATTCATATTCGTGTTCCTCTTATTATAAGCTTTATTTTGACCTATAGACTATTGTTATACAACTTATCATTCTTGAGTTATCCCTAGTCTATTAGTTACTGTTCCCCCTATTCACAGCCACTTTGGGCTGAGTCTTGTACAAATGTTATTTTCTACTTTATTGGTACGATATGGTCTGTTGGATTGGTATATGAACTCAATGTTTGAGAATAATGATTCATACCGCAGAGGCTGTTCTGGACTTAACTGACTGGTCTAAGCAAAAAGCAAGACCGACAAGTACTCTAGACTGCTCGTACGGTTTCCATGTATCATTGGTTCGATCAATCCCTAGTCAATTAATTACTGTTCTCCCTATTCACGGTCACATTTAGCCAAATCTTGTACAAATGTTGTTTCCTGTTTTGTGGTGTGATGTGGTCTGTTTGATTGGTATACAAACCCAGTATGTTTGATAATAATGACTCGTACCACAGAGAGTGTTCTGGACTTAATTGACTGGGCTAGGTGGGAATAGGGACCAATAAGTAATCTAAACTGCTCGTACGGGTTTCGTGTGTCATTGGTCCGATCAATAAAATCACTGTTCTCTAATAGGCGGGTACAAGATAATAACAATTAGTGGACACAAGTTATAAACACGAATCTACCAAACATTGATAATGAAATGAGTATATAAGTAGTATTCAGCCTACTAAACAATAAACTATCTTGATTATAGAAGGGGTTTTTGTGGAGATTTAGTATTTATCATAGTTGAAAGCGTGAGCCAATTGAAGCTAGACCACCATGAAAAACCTGGAAACACTGGACGGCCGTTTCGTCCTATTATGAGACTCCTCAGCAGTGCGCATCCACGAACCCGTTCTCGCGATCGAGATTCGAACCCAGGACCTACCAGTTTCGAGCCGAAGCCCTTAAACGACAGACCACTGAGCTGGCATCCAACGGTGTTAATGTCTAACTTCAACTGATCCACGAAGTTGAGCAACCATTCGTGGATGCGCACTGCTGAGGAGTCCCATAATAGGACGAAACGGCCGTCCAGTGTTTCCATGTATTCCATGGTGGTCTAGCTTCAATTGACTGACGCTTTCAACTATTATAAACTATCTAATAGCAAAACATAAATTTAAACAATTTTAAAAAAGATAAACCAATTTTTTTGTTTTACTTTAGATTGTTATTCTCTTGACGTAATTTCTCCATTTCATATTCAAAGAAATTAAGTTTTCGTTTCAATAATACTATACGAAGACATAATGCTCGTTTCTTCTAAAGGTATTTATAGAGAACGAAAAATATATATAAATAAAGATTTATTACATATTTTAGGATAAAATTAACATAGAAGCACAGGATAGATGTTTCGTTTTAGTGCGAGACTCTTCAGCAGTGCTAATCTACGATCTTGTAAGTGGGATTCGAACTTGGGATCTTAGGTCTCGCACCTGAACGTTTATTCATTTTAGTGTCAGTCAGTCAGCAACAATGTAGAACTTCGTACGTACGTACATCAGTTCGAGTTACCATACCACATTAACACAGAGATGCAGTTGTCAATTCATATCCCATAGTGGTTGAGGTAGTAAGAGTATAAGCAGTAATCAAAAAGATTATGGTTTGAAGATGTTAGTCAAGGAGTATAATCCAGTGAAATAAATTTGAAAAGAGAAAATAGATAGAGAGATGAAAAATTCAGAAGATTAGAATTTGGGAGAACAGAAAGAATGGATGCATCTTCGCCATTGCAAACGATTTTGAGTCATGTCATTCAAGGTCTCTAGCGATCGGTTTTTATCACCTCGCGGATCCCAACGTGGTGGTCTACACCTACCAACATGGCTCAGTTCACTTGTCGGTGACTTCATGCAGTTGTGCCACGTTTTGGTCTGACCGCCCCTAGCTTACTTCCAACCTACTCCTACACCATAAAACATTGCACGTCGAGGCAGTTGGTGGTCGAGCGTACGTAACACGTGTCCTAGCCATCTCAACTGATGAAGTTCCATTACTTCATCAATCGATTTGCCATGCTTACCTAGTACCCGTTTCCTAAAAACTGCATTACTTGGTGGTTCCAGGATATACGAGCAATGCTTCGAAGACACCTATGATAGAATACTAGCAGTCTACGAATATCCTCTACTCTTATCGGGCATGTTTCACTGCTATAGTGGTTGAGGTAGTAAGAGTATCGGAAAGATTAGCGTTTGAAGATATTATTCAAGGAGTATAATTCAGTTTAATAAATTTGGAAAGAGAAAAAAATGAAAGGAACATGAAGAATTTAGAAGATTAGAATTTGGTAGAACACAAAGAATGGATGCACCTTCACCATTGCAAACGATTTTGAACCATGTCATTTTAGTGTATAAGAAAATAGATCTCAGTTGAATCTAATTCATTGTATCATCCACATTGAAGATTATAACTAAATCATACACTCATAACTGTAATATTATCATTTAGGTTATTAATTAGATCGCCATTATATGACGGTGAATTTTAGATGAGACATTTTTTTGTCCCAAAGGATACCCTTTTTATTTCATTGAAATGATTGGAGAACAGTTTAATGGTGATCATATTAGAACATATAATTCAAAGTATGAGGATTTCAACTAAAATCTCCACCAAAAACCTCTTCTGATAATAATCATATGCTTACTAGTGACTGGCTTCAAGTGGTATTTCCTGGAGTCCTAGTGAGAAACAGTGACTAGTGGAGTTCAATCAGGTCTATTGTGAGATACCAACTCACTGAAGACAATAATTAAAGGTTGCTCAATTTCGTGGATTGGTTGGAGTTAGACATTAACATCGTTGGATGCATTCTCAGTGGTCTAAAGATTAAGAAATCGCGCGCGAGGCTGATAGGTCCTGGGTTCTTGTCCTGCAAAGCGGGATCGTGGATAGGTACTGCTGAGGAGTTCCACAATAGGACGAAGTGGTCGTCCAGTGCTTCCAGGTTTTTCATAGTGGTCTATCTTTAATTGATACATGATTTCAAGTATTAGGATTTGTTGAGATTTTAGTATTTTCACAATTGGAATCATCAATGCTTCCAAGTTTTCAATAGTGATCTAGCTTATATTGACTCATGATTTTAACTGTTATAACTGAAAGTCAGCCAAATTACATATAGCTGATTTGAGATGTAAGCATTTTTCGAGTAATTCGTAAGATTCTTGATGTCAGTGATTGAAGAGTTTATTACATAACCGAAAATCTGAGTTGTTTTTCCAATATATTAATACTCTTGCTTTATTGGCCTACATCTGCTCACTTATCTTTTACATTGTTTTCTATAATTTACTTGAGGTATACAACTTCGCCTGTACCCCTTCTGGGAGCTATTACCGGTCTCAAACCTGGATAAAAGAGGAGAATTGGGCATGGGGTTAGCGACCCCATCCCGTAGAACAATAACTCGCTAAAAAGAACGCTAACCGGGAAAAATAATTCGAACCATTTAACTGGATGTATGCAACAAAATAATTGCATTTTCATCGAATTCTATGTAGTTTGATGGACAATTCTAACCAAACGACTTCAACTACTAGCCTTGTTTGAAACGATTCTGATTATCAAACTTCTTTCTGATCACATTATTATTGACAAGTTTATCTAACAGTAAAAAGTATTTTCTCTTATGTCACTTATTCTATACTGTTCTCAATTGATTCGGAATTTGGATAAAAGTCAAATGACATCTGGAAAATGAGGCAATCTGATAACACTTTTTCAATGAGTTAAGCATGACATGTTCAAGTTTATGTTGAAATTGGATATGATAGTGTGGTGTGTGCTACTGATATCGACAGATATAAGTAGTATGTATCATCAATCGGAAGTGAAATGCCTGGAGACAGAAGATTAGAAAGATAGAAGAAACGAGAACGAGAACAGAGAATGATCTCTTTGAAAATGAAGGAACAATAAAGTCTGAGACGATTGATTTATATTTTACAAGCGAAGTATTCGCTGTATATTTCTCAGATTTTACTAAGACGTTCTGTAATTTTGTATTCAAATACATTCGATTAGCCTCACTTGTGTACTCGTTCACTACATTTAGCATCGCTGACAACCAGGATTGGGCAAAGGTGCTATTCTGTGGACGCCGTTTTGAATCCGAAGCTAAGGTGCTAGTTGGAGCGGTCTGGTGCGAGAAAGTGGCGTCGAGTGCAGTGTTCCGGCTGGACGTGCGGCTACTGGGCGGGCATCGGATGTAGGTGAGTCGGCAATTCGCTGGAGCGCAGATGTCGGACGTCCCGGGTGCTAGGTGTACGTCGGATTTCATGGTCCGGCAGATCAACAGAGCTATGGAGGTCAACGCGCCGCAGACTCGACATTTCAGCGGAGAGCGTAGCACATACTGAAGAAAAATAAGTGGCATGCCGAGCGAAACCATCGCAAGAACGACTGTTATAAAGGAGGGGATGAGTACGGTATGCGCTACTCATGTCGGTAGATATAAGTAATATGTATCATCAATCGAATAAGAAATGACTGGCTATTACTTAATAGCAAACTTAATATCAAGAAAGGCAACATGTGACAAAATTGTCATCCCCTCATAATCGAATAATCATCAAAGTTTATAAAATGTAAAACAAATACCATGGTAACCAATGTTTACTAATATGGTATTTTGTTTTTTTTCTTACCTTACGTGAATCTTCTACAAACTGTTGCATTTTATTTCTTATAGCATTACTTATATCTAAATGTTTCAAAATTCTCTGATTGTGACGGTCAGCTAAAATAAGCGAGCTTTGTTTAGATTCTGTAGCATTGATCTTCTCCATAAGAGAATTTGCATAGATCTATAAAATGAAGAGAATTGAATTGAAAGATTTCAATAAAAAGAAAGAAATCGTAGAGATAAACGTTTTAAACAAGCAAATATGGATAGTGACTAGCAATGGAATCCAGCTTAAAGCGTTTCGTCTTATTTAGGACTCATCAGATGGATGCAGCTGCAGCTCAAAGTGGATATTCACTCTGAGACTCGAACCCAAAACCATTTGCTTCAAACGCCATCGCGTTATCCACTTAGTTACTGAGTGCTGATAATCACTTACTTGTGCAATGGGGTGAAATTTGAATTCATTTTGTATTGTTTGTTTGAATCTTCTCATTGGTTTTTGGAACTGCAATTGATCAGTCTCTTATTGGCATATGTGCATACTGTGCGTATCGCCTCGATATAGCCTTAATTTACAAGCATTATAAGCAAAGATGGATAATGACTGGGAGTGAAATCAAGGACGCGCATTTCGTCCTATTTGGGACTCGTCGGATGGATATACCTGCATCTCAAAGTGGATGATCACTCTTAGACTCGAATGCAGTACTGTTTGCCTCAAACGCCATCGCGTTATCCAGTTAGCTATTGAGTCCTGATAATCACTTGCTTGTGCAATGGGGTGAAGTTGAAATTCACTTGGTATTGTTGTTTACTTGAATCTTTCCACTATTTATCAAAGATTAGTATCAATAACTGTATAAAGGTCCGAGTATTAGGCTACAAGACACACCTATTATTTAGATCAATAATACTAACTAACTAACTAAACAAATCTTGATTTATGTATAGAATCAAAGTAGACACAACTTTTCCTCTTGTACAAAATAGTAGAAAAACCTTTCTGAATCAAGCTTATGTGCATATCGACAATAGGTAGTAAGATGGGTTTGAATAACTCATTAATAACACCTATCACAGTGATACTTGACTCAATATATTGAGTTTGAGGACGACCTACGAGTGAACTTGAGGAAGATCTAAGAAAGTCAGTAAGAGCCGAAGATATTCCATTCAATTATCTTTTGGAAGAATATTCCAGAATCTCGACGTATATCATGTCTGTTGGACAAAGACTAAAAACCGATGTATGCGGATTGGATGACTATAATGACGATTTCGCTTTTACTGAAAACTGTAAATACCTGAGAGTTTTGTGCCATATCTAACACTGTTGTAACAACATTCCTTCTAACTCGTCTTCTGTCTTCTCATTTTCAATTTGGAGGGTACTACCATACGAGTGCGGGATATCAGGAATCTAAGCTACAGATATAACACAGAGGATAGTCTCTTTCCATAAAGGTTTGCTTCAACTGTACTAATCAATACAAACATGTGTAAAAAAATCAATATAATTTAGAGCAAACAAGGCTCACTTGACTGGCTAAATTCAACCATTCGACGTAAAAAAGGTACAATACTCTGATAAATCTATTAGCTTATCAGTTTGATGATCAGTATGGAATTCCAAGAGAGTAAACACGACATTGATTACTCTTCGGTGATGAATCAGTTTCAAAGTAACTTAGTCAAATACAACCGAAGTAGATCAATGGTAGAGTATATATGACTCTGACTCTACATAACGTATAGACGTATGTAACACCAAGTACTAAGATATTTCTTACTAATTAATGCGAAATCATCTATTTCATGTGACATAATAATATGAATGGATTAATTGTTGAATGTAACCTTTATGGTTATCCGCCCAACAAATATGCGTGAAGCCCTAAGGCTCTTTGGGCAAAGAGGAGATCCCATCGACAGTGCGATTGGACACTGGAGAATTGTGTAGACAGGGACATATCTTAGCTACTACGTTCAGAAGTGATTAAGCAAGCAAAAGCGCTGATGAATTGCAAATAAGTTTACAAGTGGAGAAACGTTGAATTTATTTAGCCTCAAGTATGTTTCATGTGCATATAATCAAATGCAGATATAGAAGATACATACAATCTAGTGACATTCATATTGACATAGACGGATGCGGGTGCTAGTATGTTGATACATGTAGTCATAGTAAGTATAGAAAAGTTCACATGTCCCACAATTGCCTTAGGTATATATTTCTGCTTGCAAGTACACGATACCCGCGCATTTATAGAAAGCATAAGGCAGGCCCATACACTGCATAGTATACACATAAGCGTAGATGCGACAACCCAAGGCCCTCAAAATCAGCAGCATTTTTGTTGAATGAATATCGAGCATTCAAATCAGTATATAAGTCGCCCATGCGACAATGTGATCACTTCACGTTCTTACCACAATCCAGTTTAGTGTCGACCTATATAGACCTATTGAGTAAGAGTACAAATGTTTACGAAAGTTTGACTAAACCACTATTAAGACATAAGTGTTTGTCATTTTCTATAAAAGACAAACTTACTGATAAAATAAACTAATCTTAAAAAACTGTTTTCGTGGATATCATAATAAATTTATTTGTATAAATCATCAGTCAATTGAAACTAGACCATCATGGAAAACCTGGAACCATTGGATGGCTGTTTCGTCCTATTGTTGAACTCCTCAGCAGTGCACATCCACAATCCCGCCTCGCAAGATTCGACATTAACACAATTGGATGCCGGCCATCTCACTGGTCTAGTGGTTAAGCGTTCGCGCGTGAGACCGATAAGTCCTGGGCTGGAATCTCGGGAGACGGGATCGTGGATGCGCACTGCCACTGAGAAGTCCCACAATAGGACGAAACGACCATCCAGTGCTTCCAGGTTTTCCATGATGGTCTACTTTCCAATGTCTCATGATATCAACTCTATAAAAAGTTACTAAAATCTCCATAAAACCCCCTTCTCATAAAACTTATACATTAATCAACATACTTTAAATGTTTGCATTTGATTTACTTCTAAATTTAAACGTTCTGTAATACTTGTTACTTTATTTTCAAATTCATTCATATGAATCATAAAATGATTACGAAACAATCGGATTATTTGTTGTATCTTTTTATCACCATCTTCATCATCACCATGATTATGATCATCATCTTGATCTTCTTTTCTTGAAGTGGGAGTAGTTGTCATATTGTAATTCGTAGCTGCCATGGTTTCAAATGAATTAGAATTTGTTAAACGTGTAGATAGTAAGCTTAATTCATGATTTAGTGCTGTAAAATATAAATTGAATTTGTTTTAATGATTGTCTTACTTTTAAATATTTAAATAAGTTTGTGTTATTTGGAATATAATTGATAAGCAAAGATGGATAGTGGGTAGCAGTGAAATCCAGTTTGACTCGGGTTTCATCCTATTTGGGACTCGTCAGCTGGATATACCTACATCTCAGAGTTGATGTTCACTATGGGACTCGTCAGCTTGATGTACCTGCATCTCAGATTTGTTGATGTTCATTATCCATCTTTGCTTACAATGCTTGTGAATTAAGGTTATATCGAGGCAATACGCACAGTATGCACATATGCCAATTAGAGACTGACCAGCTGCAGTCCTAAACATCAATGGGAAGATTCAAACAAACAATGCTAAGTGAATAATTGGTAAGATTATAATTTATGAACGACATTAGAGTGACGATAGATTGACCTTGAGAGTGTCCATCTAATAACTAGGATCAAATGAGTGTTACGAAGCAGTGTGAGGAATTATAATTATGATATACAGTTGATAGTTAAGGTTAGGGATTAGATGTAGGAATTTCATCACAAACTGATATCAGTTATAATACCAAAACTCTATTTAGCCAAATTGATGAATGAATTTCGCGCCGAAATCCGAGACCTGTTATCCTAAATCTGATTGGTTTGTCCATAAATTATAGTCTCGCTATACTGATTAGTACTAAAAAATGTTTATTATTTAGTTTGGTCTGCATGCTAAATCTTAATATGTTTTTGGTGGAGTTCTGTTCTCTAAGCTGGAAGGTTTGGTCGTGGAGCTTTCATCACCATTCTGAACGACATAATCAATACGAACTTCGAGTAAATGTGAAGTGTTCCAAGAACTATGAAAGATCCATGACTAAACCATCCAGTTCAGAGGACAAAAGTCCATCAAAATCACCCACCTAAGCTACAAATCTTCAACATTGTGTTATTATACTAGATCCAAACTAATTTTGTTGGTAGAACTATTTTTTTGCTGATATCTATTCAATTTGAAAGGCCCTATATCAATAGTTCTTTCTTGTTAGTATTAGTAATCACTCAGTTCTATAGTATCTTTACATATTATCGTGTTTTTTTGATCTAGTTTTATTCACCGAGCTGAGTGGTTTAGTTGTGGTTCTTTCATAGTTCTTCAAACACTTTACTTCCACTTGAAGTTTGTGTTGATGATGTTAACGATGATGGTAACGATAACGATAAGACGTACTTCTTTTGTACGCATAGTTCTGGTTTAAGCTCATGGATGGTGAGAGATTCAGCTATTTTTTTGAGGAGTTGGATACAAAGAAATCTAGGTAGATTTGAACGAATCATATAAACAACCCTTAAAATCAAACTGTGGATCCGTAGATTTATTACAGTCGATTAGGTGTTCACGTATAGAACTCATAACTGCTTTCCTTTCGCCGATGTAAAACCAAACTGGGATATCTTCTCTTATCTGAGTTGAAAGTGAACGGTGGCAACGGCCAATGTACCTTGTTCGTATTACATAATCTAGTATTATAATCTATCTATTACGTCATCTTGGTTATTCGTGTTCATATTTCTTCACGGAATCAATACTTTAACAAAATTTATTATATATTGTGAATAAGATTGAAAGTAGTTTTGTTCTCTGAGATGAATGGTTTAGCTAAGGATCTTTCATAGTTCTTCGAACACTTCATTTCCACTCAAAGTTTGTGTTGATGATATTGTTCAGAAGAAAGATGAAAGCTTCACGATCAAACCATCTAGCTCAAAGAATAAACTCCTTTTAATCTTATACACTATATACAATAGGTAATGATAAAATGATACATCTGGAAGAAAGCACGAGATACAATGGACAGGTAGGATGCAGCTGGACGATTTAGACTTCGCGGATGATTTGGTTCTTCTATCACAAACGCAACAACAAATGCAGGAGAAAACGACCAATGTAGCAGCAGCCTCAACAGTAGTAGGTCTCATTATAAACAAAGGGAAAAACAAGACTCTCCGATACAATACAATATGCACCAATCGAATTACACTTGACGGCGAAGCTTTGGAGGATGTGGAAACCTTTACATATCTGGGCAGCATCATTGATGAACATGGTGGATCAGATGCAGATGTGAGGGCGAGGATCGCCAAAGCAAGAGCAGCATATTTACAACTGAGGAACATCTGAACTCAAAAAACTGTCAACCAACACCAAGGTTAGAAGTTTCAATACAAATGTCAAGACAGTTCTACTGTATGGGGCGGAGACGTGGAGAACTACGAAATTCATCATCTAGAAGATACAAGTGTTTATTAACAGTTGTCTACGCAAGATACTTCAGATTCGTTAGCCAGACACTATCAGCAACAAGTCACTGTGGGAGACAACAAATCAGATTCCAGAGGAGGAAGGATTCAGGAAGAAGCGCTGGAAGTGGATTGGGCACACTTTGAGGAAATCACCCAATTGCGTCACAAGACAAGCCCTCACCTGGAATCCTGAAGGCCAAACAAGAAGAGGAAGACCAAAGAACACATTACACCGAGAAATAGAGACAGACATGAGAAGAATGAACAGTGGTTGGATAGAACTAGAAAAGAAGGCCGAGGACAGAGTGAATTGGAGAATGCTGGTCGGCAGCCTATGCTCCATTGAGATTAACAGGCGTAAATAAGTAAGTAAGTAAGTAAGCAATTATAAAATGATAATGAAGGATCAAGATTACCTTTAGATTTATTCATTAATTCATTACGTTGATTTTCAATTTCAAATCGTTGAACTTGTACTTCATTTCGTAGATCAAATAATTCAGTACGTATTGAATTAATGAATTGTTCAATTTGTAATTCAGTTCTAACTTGATTCTTTGTTGAGTCTACAGAGACTTGACATTGATTCAGGAATTCATTACGTAATTTATTCATTTGTTCAGTTAATATACATAACTGATGTGTAGTTTTAATGATGAAATAGAAAAAAGAATCAATAATGTTTAATTAGTAGAATAGTGAAGAAGAAAAACATAAGTGGGGACTATGCCACTGAAAGCTGATAACCATACAGTAAATAAGAATTCATTTAGTATTGCTTGTTTGAATCTTCTCATTGATGTTTAGAACTGCAATTGATAAGTCTCTAATTGGCATATGTGCGTTCTGTGCGTATTGCCTTGATATAGCTTTAATTCATAAGCATTTTAAGCAAAGATGGATAGTGGCTAGCAGTGGAATCCAGCTTGACACGCGTTTCGTCCTCTTTGGGACTAACCAGCTGGATGTACCTGCATCTCATAGTTAATGTTCACTCTGGGATTCGAACTTCAATGGGAAGATTCAAACAAACAATACTAAGTGAATTTAAACTTCACCCCATTGCACAAGCAAGTGGTTATCAGGACTCAGTAGCTAAGTAGATAACGCGATGACGTTTGAAGCAAAAGGTACTGGGTTCGAGTCCTAGAGTGAACATTAACTCTGAGATGCAAGTTCATCCAACTGACGAGTCCCAAATAGGACGAAACGCGTGTCCTACATTCCACTGCTAGCTAATATCCATCTTACATACAGTAAACAGTTAATTGGCACACTATCAAACAATTGACTCAATCTTGACTATTCCTTCTGTAAATATCAGTCCATAGTCTCCAATTTTATTGTTCATGCAGTTTCATACCAATTGCGTTTCGTTCCTGTTCTCTCCTTATTGATCTTCTAGTGAAATACTTTATATGCCTGACCATCATTATATACTACTTATATGGATATAAGTAACCCACACCACAGTAGGATCAATTGACTAGTGACCGTTGAATGATACAATGAATAATTCAACTAAGGAATCATTTCTACCGAGTTTATAATTATCTGTACATATTTGATCATTAATTTATGTGATTTTTGAGTAGATTGCCTCGATATTGTATTGCACTTCATTTGGATTGCAATCAGCAGTTGAAAAAACATTTTATCTTTTTTGAGACTTTGTCAGTTAGATGAGACAGAATACCCTTATTGATATAACTGATTTTAGTGTTTAATTTTTAGCATTCTTAAAGGGCATGGTAACTGAGATACAATGACATCATGAACTGGTGCTACGTTATGGCTTGTCGCCTTCCCCCCTTTTAGGCTTGTAACTTAACCCAACAACAGTTAACACCTCTAGCAGTTCTAGATGGTAAATAAATAAAAGAAATACATGTCGTCATCAATTAATTTGTTGAACGTTTATAAACTAGTAAAGAGGCTCTTAACTTTTACCTAGGTCTCCAAGCTTTATCTCAGAGCTATTAGGTGATCCGTGATCTCAATAAACGCAAATAGTTCTTTGAGAACACCTTTGGTCAAATACTTGCAATGTATTCACTCACTTTTAATATTAAAAAGGAGAAATAATGATATTCACCAACGCTGTATATATTGTTTATATTATATAATATTCTCTTGTGGGTCAGGGTAATTTAGCATTGGCTTTCAGGAGAACCAAACACCATCCAGACTTCCACGTGACAACCTAAACAGTACAGCTTAACAGGAGAACCAGACATTGCTGAAGCCTAACCAGAGCACTACAGCTCAATCACGCCCCACAATAGAACCAGACACTATATGGGCTTTAACGCTACAATCTGAACAATACAGCCCATTACTGTGGCGCAACCACTCATGCACCAAACACTCTGGTGGACCATTTGCACCATTCATATACACATTCACATCACATGTATAAATATTCCGATCAATATTCGCGTGAATCAATTATGCACAAGATGAACAGGCCAAAGTTGACCCATTCCGCTTACAGGACAGTCAAACTCATTACTGTTAGCAATGGCGACATGCTTTCCAATACTTCAATGAAGATGACCTTTGAGAACACACAAAAGCAACCACCAGTATGAACGAAATCGGTTAACCAGCAAATCAACTCCACACATGAACAGTCAGCCAAACTTGCCAGAGTAATGCCGAGCCCATTCACAATGTCAATGGCAAACCTCCAGTCTCACAACCACACAGGTACCAAGCACCGTAGTGAACCAGATACATTTGTTTAAACACACCATTGAGGTTATAAAAAACTAAATATTTCATAAATTGCTAATCAGCAGTTGTACTCTGGTCATGTTAAATCAAAACAGCTGATATGAAAATTTTGATTCCAAAAGGCTTACAACAGTAATCTTTTGTCAATGCACACACGCCCTCATAGCATTTGTCATGTATAAGGATTATTTGCAAATTAATCAAACTTTTTCTATCATTGTGTGATGTGTGCTACTTATATTGACATAAGTAGTATATAAAGCTAGTCAAGAATAGAATGTCTGGCAGCAGAAAGTCGTGAAGATCTAGAAGGAAAGAATGGGAACAAAAGGAAATCGGTATAGAAATGCAGGAATAATGAAGTCTGAGACAATTCATGGATATTCTGCAAATGAAGTATTCATTGTATGGTTCTCAGATTATACTAAGATATTCTGTAATGCATCCAATTTTCCTCAATGTTGTTCTCGTTCACTACAATTGTACCCCATCATTGAACATTTAACCATCTAAGGAAACTTCTTTAACTGAAAAAGTACATATTTCATGGAGATCAGATATTAGTTAAGGAATCATAGAAAACTAGTGATCACTGGAAAACTGCCCAACTGTGTTATATCTTGTGGCCGGGTGGATGTCTTGTTAGTGTGTGACGTGATAAAACGGCCAATCAGAGAGCAGCGAATTAATCGATTGGGACAGTGACACAGGAAAACCGTACGAAGAGTCTAAAGTGCGTATCGTCCCGGCTATCTGCCAAGCCCAGCCAGTTAAGTTCAGAACATCAATAACAACCTCTGCAATATGAATAGTTTAGTTACTTAACAATTGTAGGATAGGAAATATACATATTATATTGGTCCATCCTCAGAGTTACCATTCATAATTGTCCAGAGGATATAAAAAACTGCACGTCATTTTATGTCGCACTAATCTCTCCATTTCTTCAATCTGCTTCGCTATTCTTTCTTTCATCTCCCTGATTACCTATTCAAATCAATGATTGCACGAGACATACATATCGCCAACCGTCGTATATAATTATCGACTTAACTAGCATTAGTGAATAACATAGACGAGAATGAATTACGAATATGTATATTTCATACAATCGTTGATCTGGGCAGATGATCAAAGGAACGAAGAGAAACGAATTGATACTTGGTGGAGAAGGCATGTATGCCAACTTCATTTATTCAAGCGTTAATGAATATTTATACTTTTTTTACTTTACTTACGCCTGTTACTCCCAATGGAGCATAGGCCGCCGACCAATATTCTCCAACCCACTCTGTCCTGGGAATCAATATTTATAGTTACACAAAAATAAGTTGCAGATATTTGATGAATAGGATAAGATGTGTACACACACACACTTACATCAAAATAGGGTTGATAAGTGAATAAATGATAGGGTAAATTTGTGGCTTAGAAGAATGGATAAATTAGCCTGTCCAAAAGCAAGATTAAGTTATATGGGTTTAACATAGCAACCAACACTATAATATCATTGATTGGGGGGGCGGTTATACTTGATTATATAAGGAATCAGTTTATCTATTATATTTATCCGTGAATTAATTTTTTATAAAATTTAAGTAGACCCGTGTTTGCCTTCTCAATGGTTGGATCACTAGGATGACGAAGGTGAGGGTAAAGTGATCTCCTAATGAAGATTAAAGTATGGATAACTTCTGAAAACTATTAATAGACTAATATAATATATACATACTCTTATTGTATAACTGTTATATCCTGAAGAGAATTATGAATGGTACCGTTTGAGAACTATTTATAGACTGATATGAGGTGTATATTTTCTATTGTATAATTGTTAAGTAACTACCCTATTCATATTCATGTCCCTCTTATCATAAGCTTTATTTTGACCTATGAACTATTATTATACGATTTACCATTCTTGATTTATACCTAGTCCATTAATTACTATTCCCCCTATTCACAGCCACATTTAGCTAAATCTTGTACAAATGTAATTTTCTATTTTATTGGTACGATGTGGTCTGTTTGATTGGTATATAAACCCAATATGTTTGAGAATCATGATTCATATTGCAGAGGCTATTATTGGTGTTTTGGACTTAACTGGCTGGGCTAGGCAAAAAACAGGACCGATAAGTACTGTTTCAATCGATAATTCACTGCCCTTTGATTAGCGGTCTTATCACGTCATACATTTAACAAGGAATCCACTTGACGACAAGGTATAACAGATTTATTCATTAAAAAAAAAAGAGAAAAAGGAAAATATTTTTACATTGAAAAAAACTAAATATTACTTGATTCTTTTGAGTAGTACATAACGTTTCAAGTTCCATATTTTTAACTTTCAATAATTGATCATCATTTTTTGATTGATTTTGATCTCTAATAAGAAATTCAATAAAAATGGGGTTTACGATCAAATTTGGAATAGGCCTAGAATCTTTGAAAAAAAAAGTTAAATATAATAAGTTGGCTTACGTTTGGTTATTTCGAAACATACATACATACTTACTTACTTACGCCTGTTAATCCTAGTGGAGGAGTGGGGGCCGATCATCACGACAGGAGGTCGGTCGCGGCCCGAATAGCTCAGTGGTAACGTCTCTAACTGTGAATCTGGGTGGCACGGGATCGAATCCGTCAGGGAGCACCAGTTCCCTCAAGATTACAGGTACACTTTGCTGACGAGTGCCAAGTAGCACGAAACCCGTGTCCAGGGTTTCCTGTTGACCACCTCCAACCACGATCTTATCTCAATATATAGTGCACGCAGTGTCGAGTCACCTAGACTAGTGGCCACATTGCAACTTGATCGATAGCATTCGATCAGCATTAAAAAGGACTTGACACGCATGACATTGATCACAATCCAGTGATCAATCAATTGTGACCACTTTTCTACACCCAACTCTGTCATGGACAATCCTTTACAATTCTTCCCACTTCCTATACATTCTTTTCAAGTCTTCTTCCAATTCTCGATGCAATGTGTTCATCGACGTTCCACTTTTCCGTTTCCCTTCAGTATTCCAAGTTAGTGCTTATTTCGTGATGCAGTTTGGTGATTTCCTCAATGCATGTCTAATACACTTACAACATCTTTTCCTAATTTCCTCCTCAGATGGAAGCTGGTTTGTTTTCTCCCACAGTAGGTTGTTGCTCATGGTAACCGGTCAATGGACATTGAGTATCTTATGTAGATAATTGTTTATAAATACTTGTACTATTTTGATGATGGTTATAGACGTTCTCCACGTCTAAGCCCCATAAAGTAGAATTGCGCTGATGTTCATATCGAAGATTCTGGTTTCCATATTGGTTGACAGTAGTTTTGAGTTTACAACATAGCAAAGAAATTATTCAATGTTAAGCAGAGATGGATAGTGGCTAGAAGTGGAATCCAGGACGCGTGTTTCGTTCTATTTGGGACTCGTCAGATGGATGTACCTGCATCTCAGACTTGTTGATGTTCATTCTGGGACTTGAACCCAGTACCTTTCGCTTCAAACGCCATCGCGTTATCCACTCGGCCACTGAGTCCTGATAGCCACTTGCTTGTGCGATGGGGTGAACAAACAATACTAAATGAATTATCCAATGTTATTGATTAGTGGCTGTCATTAGATTTAACCTAACATATGGCGGTTTAGAATTTTCATAGTGAAGTATGATTTTGAGGAATTAAATAACGGTGATATTCTATTTTGTTAATCAAATTAAATTGAAAGATACTAAGTGTTTCATAATGACTAAATGACTGAATAGATACCTGTAAGCTATAAGACCTGAAGTTCCTTTCGTAAACATCATGATCCAGGGAAAAGAAACTTAATAATACTTCGTCGCATAAGGTTCCTATCTGAAAGATATTATTTCAGTAATCAAAAACATCCTCGTTCTTCATACATGATAACAACAAAAACTTTCAATAACTGCGTTAGCGGGGCATAGATTGGTTGAAAGCAGGTTCCATGAATGATTGCGTTGGTGCACACTGATTGGCTAATTCTTATCCAATTGGAGCTAGTCGATACTTGGAGAAGAACTCCGCCTGTAGCTCCTCCCTGGGGCTACTGCCGGTCCCAAGCCCGGGTAAAGGAGGACGGTTGAGCATGAGATTAGCGACCACATCCCGTAGAAAACCAACTCGCTAAAAAAACGGTAACCAGAAAAAAATATTCATGAACATACTGAAGTTTTTCTTATTGTGCTTCTTACTTTCTCTAACCCTTGTTCAACCGTACTCTAATTTGGGAACTTGTCAAGTGAATTGGTGTCCAAGAGTACTAAGCAATAGGAATACGGGGTCGTAACAAGGAGAAATGATAACAAACTGGGAATTTGTGCAAGGGTTCACAATGAATGAATATTAACTCATCAGTTAAAAGAATTTATTCACCGTCCTCAGGACAAGCTATCTTTGTGGTAAGTATCGTCGTTAATCTAACGTACAAATTTTGTATTTTACTTAGGTAATCAAAAAAATATGTAAAGGAATAAAACTGACAACGTAAATGACAAACAAATATTCAGATTTTGATAGTTGACATCATGAATTAATTGAAGCCGGACAACCATAGAAAATCTGGAAGCAGTAGACACTAACACCGTCGGATGTCGGCTCAGTGGTCTGGTCGTTAAGCGCTCACAGGCGAAACTGATAGGTACTGGGTTCGAATCTCGCGAGGCGGGATCGTCAATGCGCACTGCCGAGGAGTCCAGTGCTTCCAGGTCTTCTTCCATAGTGGTCTAACTTCAAATGACTAATGATCTCAACTATCATAAGCTAACTAACCTTTCTGTAGATAAATTTTCTTTTAAATAATCAAGTTGCTTATCAAGTTCTTGACATTTGGCTTGAAGTTGTGCATTTTGTAATAATAACTTTTTATCTTCATTAGTTTTAATGGATGTTAGTTGATTAATCTGCATACTTTGATCATCTTTAATCTTTTTAAGACTAGAAATCTGTTTTTTAACGAAGCGGAAAACATAAGAATATTATTCGAAGTGTAGTATAGGTTTATAGTAAAGTAAATATAAGCTTTGATACATTATACAATAATATAACAACTATTCAGCAGTTCTTTTAAGCAAAGATGGATAGTGGCTAACAGTGGAATCCAGATTGACGCGCGCTTCATCCTGTTTGAGACTCTTCAGCTGGATGTACCTGCATCTCGGAGTTGATGTTCACTATGGGATTCGAACTTAGTACAGTTCCCTTCAAATGCCATCGTGTTATTCACTCAGCTACTGAGTCCTGATAGCCATTTGTTTGTGCCAATTAGAGACTGACCAGTTGTAGACATAAACATAAATGGGAAGACTCAAACAAACAATACAAAGTGAATTTATGCAGAAGTTCGTTCCGTCCTACTTTATGGCTGTGAAACATGACCGGTAAGAATAGAGGATATTCGTAGGTAACTAGTATTTGATTGTAGGTGTCTTCGAATAATTGCTTGTATATCCTGGGACCACCGAGTAAGTAATTCAGTTGTTAGGAAACAGGTACTAGGTAAGAATGGCAAATCGATTGATGAAGTAGTAAAACTTCAACAGTTGAGATTGTTAGGACATGTGTTACGTATGTCCAACCACTGACTGTCCAGACGGGCGATGTTTCATGGTGTAGGAGTAGGTTGGAAGAAAACTAAGGGCGGTCAGACCAAAACGTGGCACAACTGCATGAAGTCACTGACAAGTGAACTGAGCCATGTTGGTAGGTTTAGACCACCACGTTGGGATCCGCGAGGTGATAAAAACCGATCGCTAGAGACCTTGAATGACATGATTCAAAGTCGTTTGCAAAGGCTCAACAATTTAGAAAGCAGGTATTCATTATATGTCTTATGAAAAAATAACACTTGTCAGCAGAGTACAATAAGTTGGTTCAGTTTGATGTAACTACAATTCTTGTCAATGATACCTTGATAATATAAAACCTTAATCATTTTATAATTCCCTAAGATGCATGATTGACATGACTTTATGTTTAGATTATATGTTATATCTAGATGTTAGATTCTTGATATACTACTTACAACTTCAGCACTCGAATGCTAGAACACTCCAAATCGAAAATGAGAAGACAGAAAACAAGTGAAAGGGATGCTATTCCAATCAGTGTCAAATATGGTACAAAACTATCAGGTTTGTATAGTTTTTTAGTATAAAACGAAATCATCAAACAGGGGGGTTCTCAGAATGTGTCTAATGGGGACGCTACACGTCGAGATTCTGGAATATTCTTCCAAATTAATCAATTTCACTGTAAGTTTGTCAGAAAACTCTACGGATCCAAGACTAAAATCCAACATTTTCCATAGGGTTTAAGAAATCACTCTTAAAAACCACTATCTTCTTCAAAGAAAGACAATTTTTCCCAAAGTTTCAATAGCGGAATGTCATCTTCTTTGGTATTTTATAATACTTGTAATAATTGACAAGTTTCTTGTAATTTTTTAGTTGAACTCATATGTCAATTGAAGCTAGACCACCATGGGAAATCTGGAATCACTGGACGGACGTTTCGTCCTATTATGGGACTCCTCGGCACTGCGCATCCACGATCCCGCGTCGCGAGCGAGATTCAAACCCAGGACCTACCTGTCTGGCGCCAGAGCACTTAACCGATAGACCAGTGAGCAAGCCGGCATCCAACGATGTTAATGTCTAACTTCATCCAATCCACGAAATTAAGCAACCGTTCACCATTGTCTTCAGTGAGTTACTATGTCATAACAGACCTGATTGAACTCCACTGGTCACTGCTTCTCACTAGAACTCCAGGAAATACCTCTTGAAGCCAGTCACTAGTGAGCATTTGATGATTAATATCAGAAAGTGGTTTTTGTGGATATTAGAGTGATTTAACAGTTGAGATCATGAGTCAATTAAAGCTAGACAACTATGGAAAACTTGGAAGCACTGGACTGCTGTTTCGTTTTAGTATAGGACTCCTCAGCAGTGCATATCCACGATCCCGTACCAAAGGAATTCAAACCCCAGGACTTGTAGATGTCGCGCTCGAACGCTTAAATTGTACCTCTTTTTTCTCTTTTCAAATTTATTCCACTTGGTTATACTCCTTGAATAACATCTTCAAGCCTTAATCTTTCGGATTACTACCTTATACTCTTCCTACATCTACCACTATGGGATTTGAATCGAAGATTGTATCTCTGTGTTAATGTGGTATGGTAACTCGAGCTGATGTACTTACGTACGTACATACGAAGTTCTACGTTGTGACTTACTGACTGACTGACATTAATAATATTAATAATAATAGATTTATTAGATATATATCAATCACTTACTTCAGCTTCATATAATAATTTTAAATTTTTAAATTCTAAACGTTCATCATTTAAAGTTTTATTAAGATTTTGATTTGTATCAATAAGTAATCTATTTTGATCTTGATAATATTTTAGATCAGATTGTAAACATAAAATTTGTTCACGATATTTTGATTCTAATTCATTAATGATCTGAAAAAAAAATCAATAATGAACAAAGAGATCAAACACCATCTTAGATACTTTATTATTCAATCTTTGTATGTTCTGATTACAGATACGGCAGTACAGTGTCTTTGAATACGTCTTTGTATTATTATTGAAAAGAGGTGAGTATTACGAAACAGTAGTATGGTAAACATAACTTGGAATTAAGAATGAATGAGTGTTATATATAGTTGAAATCATGAGTCAATTGAAACTAGATCATCATGGAAAATCTGAAAGCACTGAAAGGTTGTTTCGACCTATTGTGGAACTCCTCAGTGGCAGTGAGCATCCACTATCCTGACTCGCGAGATTGGAACCATCCGAACTATCCACAATGTCAATGGCGAACCTCCAGTCTCACATCAGACCTTCAACTCTATATGGCAATATAGTTAAGAGTCGGATATAAAGTATTTTGACAACAAATATATTTCAAACATACTGATTCAAAACAGCACATACATAAGGTATAGAAATTGTGAGTATTATGAACTGTGTTTAGTGTAAATTAATGTAGTGACTAGTTGTTCTGATATATTCTTATGTTTAACATACATTTAAGTTGAAATCATATTTTATAAAGGTTTTTTAACAGTGAGTATACTCCAGTTGAATTACTACAATTATTTCCTTCATCTGTTATATATATATATATATATCTTGATAAAAAATAAACGATTTCAAAATGGGATAGGTATAAGAAGTGTACAAAATTAAATAAGATGATGAGCTATTGAATTCAGATATCCTTACACATTTACGTTCCCTATAAACTGGTAAAAGTGTAATTGATCAATACATTTTATTTTATTTAAACACGTAAATATCGGTAAAAGGAACCACCAAATAGATATGCTCCGCACAAATCTCATTTGATTTGTGTGAGGGCTGTGATACTGCCCATGTGGCCAAACTGAAACAGGTGGTTTTATTAGGGTACCACACCCAAAGCCTTTGACCTAAAAGGTCTGATCCACAAGGCAGTGGAGCATCGTAAGCAGATGCAGTCACATGGTAGCCGGTAACCACCGATTGATTCATACGCCATTTGTTCCCTCAGGATACTGGAGTCCATGTGCACCATTGGTTTGAAATTAGGGTTTTCCAACTCCCCTAGGTGGACGCGCCGTGTCCACCAACCCAGTTAAAGCGCCGGACATTCGGTTTTTGTCCTCTCAATTTCGTACACCACAGTAAAGCCACGAGAAGGCAGTGAGTAGTACTTCCCTGGCAGAGGCTATATATGCGTGGCCATGTGAGAGCATTTTGAGAGAGAAAGAGCGGACTCTCCCCACTTTCGGCCTTACCAGGGCATTCGGGGGCATTCAAGACAAACCAACTCATGCTTTTAAAAATAACATCCATTCTTCTAACCTTTTTGGTCAGTATTATAATTAAAACAATAATATGAAATTATAACATCTAACATTGATCATATTAAATTACTTTCATCATAAATGTTATCATTGACACCATCGGATGCCGGCTCAGTTGTCTAGTAGTTAAGCGCTCGCGCGCGAGACTGGTAGGTCCTGGGTTCGAATCACGCGAGGCGGGATCATGGATGCGCACTACTGAGGAGCTCCACAATGGGACGAAACGGTCGTCTAGTGCTTCTAGATCTTCTTCTATGGTTGTCTAGCTTCAATTGACTCATGATTTCAACTGTGAATTTTGTGTTCTTAAAATTTATTATTACATCATATGGCATTGCATTATACAGCATTTCAAACTGATGTACTAAGAATTCATTTATTCAATAGATTCAAATGCACTTTTTTTAAAAACACTGTTGGGGATCAAGTTAATAATAATTATAACTTTCAAAATTGTTTATAATTAACTAGATTTTAAATTCAAAGTACTCACCTTAAGTTTTAAAATATTTGCTTTTTCTTCAACTGGAATAAGATCATATTGTCTAACAGTTGATTTGTGTTCTTTTAATTCATTGTCATCAATCATTATTGCATCAAGTCGTTGTTTCTCTTTTAATTTCGGCTCCATAGTTAATACATTTAGGCGTGATTGAAGCTGATTATATGCATTCAAAACTTATTCAACATGTACATACACATATACACGAATGTACATATAGTTTATTCGCCGAAGTTTTGTTCTTCTATAATGCTACTGAGTAGCCATGTCAACATTTATGTGTTTTATATAGGTCACCTAGATAAGATAAATGTACTTTTTTTAAACCATAGCATATGGATTTAGGATTATTAACAAAAAACACCATTTTTAATTTCACTTAGTATTATTGTTCACACGAATCTTTCCTTTGATGTTTAAGACTGCAATTGATCAGTCTCTTGTTGGTATACGATCATACTGTGCGTATTACCTCGATATTGCCCTAATGCACAAGCATTATAAGCAAAGATGGATAGTGGTTAGGAGTGGAATCAAGGATGCACGTCTCGTCCTATTTAGGACATGTCAGATAGATGTACCTGCATCTTAGAGCTGGTATGAATAATACCATCTATCTTTTCCAATATCCTTTACGTTTATATCTTCATCCTGCTACTGTATTGAGAACTTCAATGAAAATATCTAGTCTCCATTTGGTAATAGATACTCGCCTCTTGATCTCAACCATTCGGAATAGACTTGGACATAATAAACGCAAAAGAAGTTTAGGACTCAGATTCACTATCAACATGCTTGGCGAAATAAGTTAGTAAAAGATATTGAAAGTGAACCTTAAAGGTGAAGTCAATAAGTCCTAGAATCTAAAACAGAATAGGTCTACTGACGATATCGTAAACCAGGAAAACGTATATAAAACATCTTTTGGTCAGATGAACCTGACTGAAAAAAACGAAACCATGAGACTAAAACAATAACAACTTGTAACCTTTCTAGTCAGATAAGTTCTGTAAATAATAGCGTTCAACCTGAGAAGTGTATCAAGACAGATTCAACTGAGGTAAGGGGTTTTAATGGCGAAAGGTCATTCAACACTAAAAGAGAAATCAAAATAAATCATAGAATAAGTAGATTTCAAAATGCCAGCCATTGGAGCCTCGGTATAAACGCGAACCGTGTATACTGTTAATGCTGAGGATTAGGAGTTTATTACCAAGAGTAAATATAAGCAAATAATCCGAAAGGTTTCCAAAATTTGGAGGAATAAGTGTTTAGATATCAGAGTTTTTAAGCTGTCACAGACTTTGTTATGAAACGGCTTGTGAGAAACAAAAACTCTCGAACACACATGTGAGACAAACTCTCATGTTATAAAAGATAATAAAAGTGCAATAAAATTTTTTAGTACAGAAACCCATTTCTTAGTTTCATGTGGCTCAGTAACCCAGAAAAGACGCATCTATTTGATGTTGTGAAGCACGTTGGTGATATCGAATGGAGTTGAAACTTAGGGAACGTCAAATAAGTCAATCAGAATGTAGGACCCGATACATGTGTACATCAGTTCAAGTTGTCATACCCCATTAACTCACTAAGATGAAATCGTAACACTAAATCCATAAATAGTGAAGGTAGTAAAAGTATCAGTAGTAATGGAAAAGATCACTCATCGCAGATATGACTCGATAAACACGCGGACCCCAACCAGATAGTCTGTACCTATTAACATGGCTAGTTTCAATTGCTAGTGAATATATGAACTGATGCCATGTTTTGGTTATGCCGCCCTTAGATCCTTTCAAGCCTGTTCTCGGATCAGGCAATATTGCCCGCCGAGGTAGGCAGTGGTTGAGCATATACGGCTTTTGTACACGAAGTAACTATCGGTCCGAGAAACATTAGCAGATGTAGATCATCTCATTGTGGTCCTGGAGATTACGGTAGCAAATTTTTGGGAACATTGGTTATATGGCTTGGAACTGACCGCATAAGAGAAGATGGACTCAATTTTGATCGCCCTTTAGAATATGAGTGGAACTTATCTCGACAATATTATCTCGCACTGTTGACATGTAGTTGGGCATTGAAATGATGCAAATATGGGTTAGGTTTTTCGTGGCATATCAGTGGCACTTATCAGTTTTAGGGAAGCTGCAATAGAATATTTTAGAAAAGTGCGATGAAACTTCAATCGCTTTCTTGAGTACGGGATTTTTATTAAAAATTTCTGATTATATTTGGGAAATCCCCATAGATTTATAAGTCTATTACAGTCTTCAGTCTTCAGTAATAAGGATAGTAGGTTGATGAACCTGTGTTAATCCTGACAGATTTCCTTCCAGTGAAGGTCCAGCTTCTTTTTGAAAATGTTCACTGATGGTGCTGATACCACTTGTTCTGGTAAAGCGTTCCAGTCATTGACCACTCGATGAGAAAAACGGGACCCCACCTTTAGTTTATTAGATCGCGGTTTCAGAACCTTCTTGCTATGACCCCGGAGATTATTAGTGCTGGAGGGAGCAAAAAGGTAAGACATATTAACACCCAGATCATAATTAAAGATACGAAATGCCAGTATAAGGTCACCTCGTGTCCTACGATAAGATAAGGGGAAAAGATTTAGACGTTTTAAACGCTCATCGTAAGGGAGTTTGGAAAGACCCTTTACTAATTTTGTCCCTACACGCTGGACACGCTCAAGCGATTTAGTATCCTTTATCAGACAAGGGCTAGCTGCTTGGATACAGTATTCTAAGTGTGGCCTTACATAGGTGGGATATAAAATTCGAAACATATCCTCGTCAAAGCATTTAAATGCTCTGCGAAGCGACCATAGCGCGCGATAGCCTTTGGAAGCAACCGCACTGCAGTGCGTAGTAGTTTTTAAGTCGTGACTTATAATTACTCCTAAGTCTTTATGCGTATGAACGCGTGGCAGAGATGTACCATTAATGGTATAGTGGTAACTAATATCGTGCCCGATGTGCATGAACACGCTCTTCCTGAAATTAACTTCCAGGCCCCAATCATGAGCCCACCTAACTAATTCGTCTAAATCTGCTTGTAGATAACAACGATCAATCTCATTTCTTATTGTTCTCCAGATTTTAACATCATCCGAAAACAATAACGTCGACGACTTCAGTAATAAAGGTAGTTCATTAATATACAGAAGGAAAAGTAAAGGGCCCAAGATGGTGCCTTGGGGTACACCACTTTTGACCGGTTTCCATTCGGATAGAGTTCCATTGACTCTCACTCTCTGTCTGCGGTCACATAAGAAGAAGCTTCCTATCCATTCCTGTATAGCACCTGTTATACCAAAGCTCGAGAGCTTTTGCATGAGACCTAAGTGTGAAACCTTATCAAACGCTTTGCTAAAATCTATAAATATCACGTCGACAGACTGGCCGTTGTCTAGTGCAGCTGTCCAATCCTCTCTCGCAATGAGTAAGTTAGTCAAGCATGAATGCTTGTTACGAAACCCATGTTGCTCGGGAGTTAACAGATTGTACGAATCTATGTGGCTCAGTAGCTTAGCCCGAATTAATTTTTCAAGTAACTTAACTACTATACTGGTCAGGCTAACAGGCCGGTAGTTAGATACTATCCGTCTCTGACCATCCTTAAATATAGGACTAACTATGGCGTCTTTCCAGTCTCTAGGTAGTTGAGCCTGTGAAAGGGACATGTTGAAGAGCATCGTGAGCGGTCTTGAGATAATGTCCGCAAGCGACGACAGCAAACGTGGGTGTAACCCATCGGGGCCCGGTATCTTACAAGGTTTTAGGTTAGTTATCAAAGGAAGAACTATATCCTCTGTCACGTGTAAGGGTCCTATGGCTGGTATCTCATTGTCAACGGGACAAGTAGTTGTAACACTACACGTAGAGTAGACTTCACTGAAATAGTTAGCAAATAACTCCGCTTTCGCCAGATCAGATTCAGCCAATAAAGCTGAATTTTCGCTTAACAGTAATGAGGGGATGCCATCACTCCGTTTCGTCCGCCTTTTAACGTACGAAAACAGGCGCTTCGGACAGGTACGGCTATCGTATGCCAACTGTCGTTCGTAAGCCGTGCGGGATTTAGCTATGGTCTTTTTACATATATTCCGGCACTGTATATATATATATATATATATATATATATATATATATATATATATATATACAGGCACTGTAATTTTACACACATGATCTTAGCTCAGAGAGAAGAGAAGATCGCTATCATGTCGTGCAGTAAATAATAAGGTATTGAAGAAAGATGGTGTAACAGTGTCAAAAACTTACATGTAGCTTTTTGAAAGTTTTTAATATTTCATAAATCAAATAATTTTCAATGGTTCCTTGAATTTCTCCGAAAAGTATCAGTCCGAAATCTGTGGAAAAACCGTTCTCTAAAATGTGTTTCTTTTTCCTGGAACTTTTGTAACTGTCTGACACAGACGATTTATATTATCAATTTCCAAACTGGATTGATTTTAAAAAATGCACGTTTACAGTTTACTAACATACGACCTACAGTTACCTGATGTAAACTCAACCAGAGGTCGTAGTTAAATCCGAAAACCAATCGCCAATATCTCATTGAAGAGCTTACATAAGTTTACTGACGTCATCACGATGCTTATTCTTTTTGCACAGATATATTTTTTTGGCTGAGTGAATATTATGATTGTTTATTACGTATCAAGACTACTGTTTACACTTTATATGATTTTTTCAGTTTGTGTATCCGCTAAGAGTATTATCGTTTTGTTTCTAAAGTGGTTTACTGTCGATAATTTTCAGTACTTTGTTTCTATCGTATTTGTTAGCAATTTCGGTCCTGACATTTCACATTTTTTATACTTTTTTGGTCGTAGATCACTTTTGAATCAGGGTACTTTAATATCTTGTTTGCATCTGAAAACTTCGGATCGGTGACTGGACACCGCCAGAACAGCAGTTGCCAGCGTCCGTGATGTGGATACCCTGCTGAAAGCGGCATGCAGCGCGATAAATGCAAGGCTTGGTCCCACGAGGTTTGCACAAATTTGACACTTTCAGCTTTCAAACGTTTTGTAAAAATGGTCGCATATGGCTTTGTCGGTAGTGCTTCGCGGACGCAAACAGCTTGCTAACAGA